TGAGAGTTTTACTTTTTGTTGTGTCCTTAATATTGCTAGTGTTTCGTCCTATTTAGGAAAGTGATGCTGGTTGTCCGAGACAACCATGGCATGATTTGCATTGCCGAATCGATGGTCCAGCTGCTTATGACATTCTCACCAATTTTGAGGAGCGTTGGTTAAAGGCTTCCAAACCCCACGGGCTTCAAAAATTGAAGACTTCAGTTGATGATGCGTTACTGAAGATTGAAAGGATTCCTGAAATTGCTGGGATAACAGAAATTCCATACTTGAGCAAAGATGATCCAGAAACTTGGCATGTTCAGGTACTTTGGATGCTAGTGAGCCGTTGGTGTTGAGTTTTCGTTACTAGTTTTCTTGTTTCCCATTTTTGTTATATCCTATTATGTTCTTTTTTTTCCTTTTCCGCTGATTTCCCTACTATGAAAGGTTTTCCGTTCAATCGATTCCAATTCCGTGAAAGGTTTTCCAGATGACCCGAAAGATGCTACAAGAATGGTGAGAGAAACATATGGATTTTAGCTGTTCTTATTAACTATTGTAGAATGATCAGATGAAGTCTAACCAACTTGTATGCTTGTACTTTGTCTAGAACTTGGTGTGTGGGAAGAATGTTCTCATAGACATGAGCATACACACTGCCTATGTCAATGCAATCCGTGCTGCTCAACGCTTCATCTACATCGAGAATCAGTACTTTCTTGGATCATCATTTAATTGGGATTCCCACAAAGATTTAGGTAAGGAACTTAACCTTTAAAGTAAGGAGTAAAGGAATGAAGATGAAATAGTTGTCTTTCGACTGAATGATCAAACTTGAAGTTTTGATATTTCTCCTCGTTGAGATGTCTATCAGAGAATGAAGACAGCATTCCAAATGATTCATCTTGTCCCATTTTTTCTCATGATCTCTTTCTAGAGGAAGCATTGAAAATTGAAACCTTCCATCGCCTAACAGATGGACTGAGATCCTGCATTTCTCCTGTTCACAATGATTTTTTTTGTACAGGGACAGACTTGAATGTATACATTTGGTTTTTGCTTTTTGCTTGCAGGTGCGAACAATTTAATACCAATGGAAATTGCTCTTAAAATAGCCAACAAAATCAGATCAAATGAGAGGTTTTCTGCATATATTCTCATCCCAATGTGGCCAGAAGGGGTTACAACAAGCACTCCTATCCAAAGGATTCTCTTTTGGCAGGTAGACTCCATATTCCAATAACAATTAGAAAATGTACTTCTAATGTCAAGCATGAATTGTTTTCATGGCTAGATGTCATTGGATGTAGTAATATTGATTTCAAATCCGCAGAATGCTTCAATGCTGATTGTGTGTTGCATTTAAAATTTTTTTTAAGAGTTTCTGCTGAATGTAAAACTTCTTCACTCAGTATAGTAGTTGATTTCTGCAGCATAAAACAATGGAAATGATGTATGACATAGTTTACAAGGCATTGGTAGAAGTTGGACTTGAGAATAAATATGAGCCTCAGGATTTTTTAAATTTCTTCTGCCTTGGCAATCGAGAGGCCATAAATGGAGGAGACTCTGTGGATCCCCGAAGTTCCTTAGCATCAAATTCTCCCCAGGTACATCTCTTTCCGACCTAGATAGACCTTTCAGATTTCTCTTTAATATTTCACCCAGCTCATCCATAAGAAAATGAACCATATGTTGGTAACGCAGGCACTTGCTCAGAAGAACCGTCGCTTTATGATTTACATCCATTCTAAAGGTATGATAGTGGATGATGAGTATGTCATAATAGGATCTGCTAATATAAACCAGCGCTCGATGGAAGGCACTAGAGACACCGAAATAGCAATGGGTGCTTATCAGCCTCACCATGCCGGTTCAAGCAAACCATACAACTCACTCGGGCAGGTAAGCTTGAGAAGATACATTTAAGTTAAGTGCATTTGTTCTTGTTGCAAGATTGACAGTCTATGCCAAATATATCTTAACATTTCTATAGAGGTTTCACAATCACACATGCACCCATTTTGCAATTAGTTTTTTAAGCTTGTAGGTTACAGTACCATAGATTGAAATTTCAATGGCAGACTTGTCCATTTGAAAGAAATACACGTGTGCACATGCTCACAAACACCCACAAAGGCCTCAGATTTAAACTTGAAAGCGGTCATTTGTTGAGGTCACGTTTTCCCATGGAAGTTCACATGAATAAACAGAAGCTTGTCCCTAATATAATAAGCATATAAATATGGAAAAGCACTTTACCTCCCATGTTTTTTTCCCAACTCTAATAGGTCTTGGGATGTGCATTCATTTCATCATCAGCAAGTAATGGACCAACTCAAGGTGTATCTATGAACATCAGATCTTGTGTCCTGTATTACTTTTAATCTTTGGCTTAGCTTCCTGCTACTTTTTATGTCTGTGAGGCCTAGGCCCTGATCATGCACAAACGCCATGGCTCTTAGAATTGAGTCTTCATTCACGTACCAGCTTTTAATTAACTCTAGGTTCTCAAATGTTGCTCATAACTATGCTCCATGTTTGCTAATTTAGGCCAAAACTTAACAGCTTTCGCTTAAAATGAGCGCAGGTCTACGGATATAGGATGTCACTATGGGCAGAGCATATCGGAGCTCTTGAGCAAAGTTTTAAGCAACCAGAGAGTCTGGAATGTGTAAGACGGGTCAGGTCTTTGAGTGAGCAGAACTGGAGACAATACGTAGCTGATGAGGTGACGGAAATGAAGGGCCACCTTCTGAAGTATCCGGTGGAAGTTGATCGGATGGGCAAAGTGAAGGCTCTTCCTGGCTGTGAAACATTCCCTGATGTGGGTGGAAAAATTTTGGGTTCATTTACAGCCATTCAAGAAAATCTCACAATCTAAAACAACTCACAAACAAAAGACTGTTTTTGTCTACCACGCGGTTTGCCCGGTATATATTTAAAGATTTCGTTGTGCATAGGAATATCATTTGATGATTGTCTGTAGATTAAGACGTTGGATGGTCAGTTGTAATGTCTTTGGAGACAAAGTTGTTTTAAGGTCAACTTTGTTCCTTGTAAGACAGTTGCTTGCCCGTATGTTCTCAAAAGGATGTTAAGGCGACTCATGTCGTTATGCATTGGCCTTGATTAATCCTCCCTCGTTTCCATATTAGCGTTTCTAAATGAAAGTTGGAGTGGCTTCTCCTTGAAAAGTCAAACATAAAGAGAGGATCCGTTGCCTAAGCCGAAGGAGATGAAACCAATTTGTGGCTATTAGCTATTATCAAGATAAGTTGGTTTTATGTATGAATCAGGAATGGTGGGAATGGGTTAGAAAAAAATCAATTTTGCCATAAAAACAAAATTCAGAAAAGTAATCAAAATTTGAATAAAATTACTATATTTTAAAAATGTACTAGCATTGACTTAAAGAGAGAACAACAAAACAGTGTCTAGTTTAAGCTAAGGTTAGGATTGGCCAAAACCATCAAAAAAAGATTCACAATTGCACAAACTAAGAATTTTAAGGTCCAGTGGCTAAGGTTAGCATCTTTTCGAAAGCGGGTCCCAACTGAACCTCTGCGTTTCCCTTTCATTAATAAGGTACGTGATCCCCCTCGAACCACCCATTATTTTGGACACTGAGACTCTTTCCCTCTTAAGTCCAACCCAAGTCAAGAAAGACAAGGTGGGACTCACTACCGTGCACCAGCAACTAACCTCATACAGCCCCAAAGAGATCCATGCTAATAGAGAGAATATTATTTTAATTAATAAAAAAATATTTAATGTATTAATTGTGTATAAATTCCATACATTATCAAATTGTTAAATTTTGACACTTTATTAATGAAATATTATTTTTTGTAAAAAAAAATACAAAAATTTGATATTATTTTAAAATTTTATTAATTTTTTTATTTTTTAAATCAAAATTTGATGGTCTAATTACCTATAAAAATTATACACTATCAATATATTAATATTAATATTTAATCTTTTAATTAATCATTCTCCAAAATTGACCACTAGTTGAAATGATGAATAATTCACATATTTTTATGTATTGTTTATTGCATGATCTTGTTGTAAAAACCTTATATTGAATATTAAACTATGAGGGAGAAACAAAGCTGTTTCTCTAATTTTCAAAACCCCGAAGATGCTTAGCATTCAGAAGGACTATAAGTGCAGACAAATTAAGGTTTAGCTCTGCTTTTGCTATTTGAGGGACAGAAACTTTTTTCCGAAAGAGTTTTTTTTTTTTTTCAAAAAAGAGAAGGTGAAGAACAGATGCTAGTTAAAAAGCTTTCAGAAAATATGGCATATATTTTCCCATCAATTGAAAATTAATTTAAAAGAAATTAATTACATATATATATTTTCTTTCTCACAATGATAATCAATGTGCTCTTTATTCCAAAACGTTAATTCAAATCTTTTTCCTGACAATAACATTAGGGCTACTTTATTGCAATTGTAAGGATATTCTATCATGCAAAATTGTATTTTTTTTTTATTTTAAAATATATACTTATTACAGTTTATAAATTAAAGACAAAATAACTTAAATTTAGTTTAAAATATAAAAAAATTATTATTTTTGTTCGTTTTCAAAAACATTTAAGGTCAATTGCTATATTGATATAAAAGAACTATAAGTAATATTAAGAATTACCAGAAAACTCATTTATATTATTAATTAATACCGATTTTTTAATAAAATTTCATTATTAATTTATTATTAATCATGAAAAGGATTAAAGGAGTCTTTTGCGATACAAATGAAAAGGAAATTTTATTTTTCCTTTGAAAGAAAAACAAAATTGAAAGCGAATTTCAGGCCCATGAATTAATCATGAGCCTAACCTCTCACAACCATGTCCTTTTCCCCACCGACCCGTCGGTCTCCAAAAACCCAAATCTGAACAAATACTAAATTGTAATAAAAATAATATCAAATCAAATAAAATCAAAGAAAAAAATAAAAAAAATAATGACCTCATTATTTGTATATATATCTACGAGGCACTCGCTCTCTCAAATCCAACCCTCCGTTCTCCATTTTGCATTTCTCTTTCAAAAACCCCAAAATTTAAGGTAAACAACAAATAAAAATGGGGCTCCCGGCAAATGGCTCATCTGAGAAACCATTGAAGTTTCTGATCTATGGTCGAACCGGTTGGATCGGCGGTTTGTTAGGCAAACTATGCGAATCCAAGGGAATCGACTACCAGTACGGCTCAGGCCGGCTCGAGAATCGGCTGTCTCTCGAGTCCGACATAGCCTCCGTGAAACCAACCCACGTCTTCAATGCCGCTGGAGTCACCGGGCGTCCAAACGTCGACTGGTGTGAATCCCATAAGGTCGAGACCATCAGAACCAATGTGGTCGGGACTCTTACCCTGGCTGACGTGTGCAGAGACAATGGCCTTGTCTTGATTAATTATGCTACGGGTTGCATCTTTGAGTACGATGCAGATCATCCGATCGAATCGGGTGTCGGGTTTAAGGAAGGGGATAGTCCAAATTTCACGGGTTCCTTCTATTCTAAGACTAAGGCTATGGTAAGCAAACAACAACAAAAAGGTTTCAATTTTTACATTTAAATTTGTGAATTATATCATTAGATCTGGTTATTTGTTTGTTTGATCTGTCTTGGGTTTTTAATGTTGGAAAAATTTTCCTCGTATTTGTTAATGTTAAGGTTGTTCAGATCTTGTGATGTTAAGCAAATGTTGTTCGGTTGTTTATGTTACATACATTTTTAAATTAGGTTGTTCTACAATATTTATTGAAAATTATTTTTTTCCTGCAAAAATGTTTTCATTTTCCGTAGTTTTTTTTAAGGAATAATTTTTAATGCATCTGTTGGCATTGATGACACTTGGGTTTAGCTGGAAAGTATAGGATTCATTAAGGACTATTAATTGGACATGTAGGAAATGAAAGTAGTCCTGAATCTGCTTTGCCTTTTTCCTAGTGTAGTTTAGTTCATGTAGATCTGAACTCTGCTGTTGTTCTAATTATGGATCTTTGCTGATAATTGACAGGTGGAGGAGCTGCTCAAGAATTATGAGAATGTTTGTACGTTGCGTGTGAGGATGCCTATTTCATCGGATCTAGCGAATCCTCGAAATTTCATCACCAAAATCACTAGATATGATAAGGTGGTCAACATTCCTAACTCAATGACTATCCTGGACGAACTTCTTCCCATTTCCATTGAGATGGCTAAGAGGAACCTTACTGGAATCTGGAACTTTACCAACCCGGGAGTGGTCAGTCACAATGAGATTTTAGAAATGTACCGTGACTACATTGACTCCAACTTCTCATGGAAGAACTTTACTCTTGAAGAGCAGGCTAAGGTAATCATTGCCCCAAGGAGCAATAACGAACTCGATGCCAACAAGTTGAAGAATGAATTCCCAGAACTCCTGTCCATTAAGGAGTCTCTTGTTAAGTATGTGTTTGAGCCAAATAAGAAGACTCGTGGAGCTTGACCCCAGTTAAGTTGAAGCAGATTTCCCTGAGGTCTTGTCTGTTAGGGAGTGCCTCATAAGGTTTGTCTTCAGGGTGAATCAAGAGACTAGTGGAGCTTGAAAATTTTAGGCTTTGAATTCTTTGATTATCCTTTTTCTATTTATTGAATTTGGTTCATGTGGGTTGATGTGATATCTCTGCAATAGGCACCTCTTCCCAGATGACACGAAGAATTGTTGGTATTTGTATTTGAATGTTGTATTCATATCCACGTTTGAATAAATCAGTTGAAAATGATTTATCTAGTTATAAATTACACTTTTTGAGTTTATTGGTGTTGCCTCTTGCCTGCCTTGATCAATCTCGGGCACATGCTGACTTGCTAGTTTTTTTTATTTTCTCATTTACTAAAATAGAACACTTCAATGGTAGAAATTTTTGTCTTAGGGATTCTTTTTGACTTTTATATTAATATTATTTTAGCATCAACTACGACCACTTAGAGAATATTTGAATTGTAGAATATTGATTATAGAATGCTGCTACCATTTTCTCATAAATATCTTGATTATAGAATATTTGAATTGTATTATGAGCTTTTGCAGTGCAGCAATATGTAGTGAGCTTAGAAGGGTTTGCATTGTTTTATGTTTCAGGATCCCGAATCAGTTGTAACCATCTCAGGATCAAGACCTGGATGGTCATATGAATCTTAATTATGTAAGCAAGTGAATAAATTGGTTAGGACAGTCTTATGCAATCAAAGCCACAAGGGCCAACAACTCCCTGGGGAAAGAAAATCTACTTGGGGATTGCGTTTTGGGTATGACCCCTGCGATTTCAATTTGTCGAGAGCAGAAGGGCAAAGAAAGATTGAGTTGTCGGTTGGCAGTTGCAAGTTTAAGGATGAAGGGTCTTGTCCAAACAAGGACACTTGAAATGTGGCCTGAGCCGAACAGAGCTTTTTAGGGGCCTTGTGGCTAGAATGACCTTGGTCTCGTTGAGTAAAGCAACAACCGTTTGCTGGAGCCTGGAAGTATCAACTGAGGCAGTGCTGTCAAGTTGGAGGAATTTGGGTTGGGACTGGGCTGCTCGGTAGACCTAATAATGGATTCGAGCATAAGCAGAGTTAAGGCTCCTTGATTTTGGATCAAATCATACTCTTCTAACCTTTTGAATTTATATAAAGAATTTTATTAATGTTTATTTTTTAAAAATTTATGTTTAATATACTGATAATTTATAATTTTTATATACTATGAAATCATTATAAAATGTCACCTTATTTTAGAAGATTACCTCCCTCTCACTCTCTCACGTATCTCTTCTTCTTCCTCTATTTTTTACTCTTATACCAAAAGTTTAATTTTTCCACTAGGATTTGTTTGAACGAAAATTGCAAGTTTGCAATAGTTATATTGTAATTGGAGCCAAACCCTAAGGGCCATATCTGTGTTTTAGGGAGAGCTAAGGTGGATGAAATGTTTTATGCAATGCTATGTTAACTTTCAACGTCATATCTGTGAATAGAAATTATACATAATACAAACTCATTGTTTAAATAAATTTTTACATAATTTTTTAATATTTAAAATGAAATAAAAAACTTGTTTTTGACAATATTGTATTTGTAAATTATTATTATTATTATTTTGCAAATATAAACTTCAAAGCCCAATTGAAAAAAAAAATACTCTTTTTTTTTTCATTTTTATCAATATTTTTAAAAATATATTATAATTTATGAAAATAAATTACAATTTAATTGCGATGCAAGAAAGATATAGACCATATAATACATCAAACATGAAAGATAAATCTTTGAAACTCTTAAAATCTTTCTTAAAAACACATATCATCGATAAATGATGTTAATTTTTTAGAAAAGGCAAAGAGCTGTGAGAAAGAAGATGTAAAACAACATCAACAATTGGAGACCTAAAAAGTAGTGGGCATATTCTTCACTCGTTGACTTGATTACCTTACATAATGACTAACACCTCTTTATATAGAGCTTTAGATACATCCAAACACACAAACACAAAAATCCTTTATTTTCAAACTAAACCTAAAGATCTTAAACACCATCGTCAAACATAGACTAAAAGATTAAAAATAACAGGAAATAGATTAATAATTTTAGAGAGTTACCTATCAAGCCAAATTAATCTTCTTTTTATTTGGCTCAAAAACAATCTTTATAACAAACTCTTTAATGGGCATTATTTTAGAAAATTCCTGCTTCAGTTTTGTTGAATCAAGTTCACTGTTGCATCTAAGAGCGGCAAGGACCTTCACTTGCTCCTCAGGAGTGAAATTCTTCCATGTAAAATTGAGATCGACATAATTCTGATACATCTCTAAAACTTCATTGTGAGAAAGCACGCTAGGGTTGGTAACATTCCAAATTCTAATAAGGTTTCTCTTTACCATCTCAATAGAAATTGGAAGGAGTTCATCCAAGACCGTCATCGAGTTCAGAATATTAACTACTCTTTCATAACTTATGATCTTTTTGATAAAATTATGATGGTAGGATAAGTCACACAAAAAAGACATTCTAACACGTAAAATGCAGACATTCTCATAATTCTTAATCAAATATTCCATCTTCAATTTACATAAAAAAAATGAATATTCAAATATTGTTACCACTTAGAAGAACTACATGAATGATGTTTTAATGAATGATATGCATCCATGCATGTTGTATCCCTTACTAGTTAAGTCTATAACTATAATTTTGTATATAAATAATGACGATGATCTTATAAATATCATCTTAACAAATGTCAATAAACTATTTTTAATATTTTCTTAAAAAGAGTGATGATCCTTTTAAATTCAAGGTTAATCAGACTCAATAAAATTATTTTTAGTAAGTAATTTTTGCTGCCAAAAGTAATTGTCAAGATCAAACGACTAATCTTTTTTATTGTAAAAAATGTAACTTGAAGTTTGGCTCTACATTGTAAAAAAATGTAATTTGTTTTTACCATGCCTTTGGTCTTTGAAAAAATGGAACCGCTAAAATTGGAAGCATCGTTCTCGGTGAAGCCGATCCCTGACCCAAGAGGATGGTCGGAATCATAATCAAACATGCAGCCTGTCGAGTAGAAAATCAAAGGCAAGCTCTGTTCACAGCACACGTCAGCTATGTTCTAGGCCCCGATCACATTGCTTCGGATGGTCTCGATCTTATTGAACTCGCACCAGTCTACGTGGGGCCCTCCCGTTGCGCCAGCTGCGTTGAAGACGTGGCTTGGTTGGACAGCGGCTATATCAGCTCGTAGAGATTCACGGTCCTCGAGCCGACCAGAGCCGTAGGCAAGGGGATGCCCTGGGCTTCGCAGACTCGGCCTAATAAGCTGCCGATACAGCCCGTTCGGCAGAATATGAGGAACCTGCGCCTAAGGGGCTTCGCATTGCCATCGGCTCCAAACTCCATTGTTATTTCGTGAGTCGAGGCAGGGAAGCAAATATGGGCGCTACCAAGCGTCCTTTTTACAGGCTTGGTCCAGAGAAACTGGACAAGCAAGAAGTGGGCTGACACTTAATTTCCTGCAAAAGGAGCAGCAATGATTTACTGGGTTCTTTTAAAATAAACGAAAATTCATTAGAGACTAAAAATAATAGGCATACATCAGGTACAAGTATTCCCTCCTTCCGCCAACGGAAAAAATACAAGAAACATCGGGCAAGAGATCTTTAATTTTTTAATTTTTTAAAATAATTCCTTATTAATGAAATGTCAAGATTTAATGATCTTATCATATTAAAAACTATATACCTTCAATGCATCAAATATTAAATTTAAAGAAACACAGGAAAGAAGATTTTGAAGAGCATCCAATAATTAGAGACTCAAAAATACTTGGTTATATTCAAGAGAGTTAATTAATTAGACTTCTTTGCTTGCCGACTTGATTATAAAATTACTTTAACCTCCATATAGACAAACATAAAAATACTTTTTTTACGTATTGATCAACTCAAATTAATGATTTTAAACACCAACGTTAAAGAAACATAGTTGAAGTTGCAATTCCAGAGTCACGAAAACCAACAGGGAATAGATTAAATGATTTTATGAACTTACCTGTCCAACGATGTCAAGTTACGTTCTTATTTGGCTTGAAAGCATAGCCATTCGTTTCGAACTCCGTTTTGTTTTGCCTTTTGTTAGTAAGATTGACTTGAACTGCTCAATGACTAAAGGCAAAGGCCCAGGATTCAAGGTCCTTTGGAAAACTTGTGTAGGTGAAAGTGTAACAAGCCCAGCAAAAAATTGGGATTTTCCTGCAAAAAAATACAGGCAATAATTGACTGGTTAAGTAGATTCCATATCTTATCATCACCCATTTATACTTGTCCTTTTCACGGAGTTATTAGCACCCAATTCAGAATTCCCATCTCCCGTACTGTATCGATTAGGCAATTCCTGTCAGATTCTTAAAATGCGTTACTTATTTTTGCCTTTTATCATATTTTTTATTATAATTTATCAATATCATTTATACTTCAACATTTGATTGATTGCTACGTAATTTTTCTATTTAAAGAAATTTTTTATAAAAATATATCAATATAATTAAGATTTTGTTTTCATTTGTATGAAATAAATATTATTTTTATCATTATTGTTATTATTATTATTATTATTATTAAAAAAAACTCCATCTCTTCTACCTTTTCAAGATGTCTCAAAATTAATTTCTGTTTTTAATACATGATACACTTTTAAAGTGCTTTACATTAATTTTATGAGATTGATAAAATCATAACAAATTTTAATGTTAGAAACATTAAAATCAAAACTCTTTTTTAAACTTATATGGAGAACAACGCTCAATGTTTTCTTATTTTATAAGTCAGATTGTTATTATAAAAATATTCTTAATATTTTCAATTTCTTCAAGTAAGAATATCTTTATAAGAAGTAAAAATATATGTTTCTAATTTATTTAATAATGATACCAATACCATCCCAGCGTCGCCCCAACAACCAGAGAGTTGTCCCAAGATTCCTAGTTTAATAGGAGAAAAAAAAGAAGATTTAACTTTTTCCAACAGCTGAAAAAGATAAAATGTTTCAAGCAGGTTACCATAAAGTCGATAGTCAGGCATTCGCCCCACCCTTCCCCCAACCTGTTCCTAATTAAAGCCCTTGGTAAGCCATCCATGTAGTTTTCCTTCCGACGAAATTGCTTGCAAATGGTTTGTACAAGTCACCTGTAATATGGGATTCTCCCATCACAGCATTAATAGCATGAATTGAATGCAATCTCATAGAAATCATAGAACCAACCCAAGAAACACAGAACACGGAGGGAAATAACTCAACAAGACCACCTTCGAGATTTTTGAATACTTGACTCAATAGGTCATCCATCTGTATACCGCATTAAACTTGGCTAAAGATATTGTAAATTTGCAAAACAACTCAACAAGGCAATACTTTCAAGAGGTTTTGAACTGACCGGAAAATAGTGGACTTTAAGGAGAAAAAAAAAAAGTTCTGGTAAAAAAATCGGTAACCATCATGTTCATGTGAGCAGCAACCTCATTCCATTATTCCATGACTCGCATTCTCAACATCAACTTCTCCCATGCCTGTGTCTTCCTCTTCTTCACTATCTTCATCACCACTGACCTCTTCATTATCATTACGCAACTTAGCCATGTGCTCGGCAAGCAATTTATCATCCCGTTCACTCACCTAAATCAATGCCATTTTGAGAATACAGGAGAAAGATTTAACATTTTCAAATTAAGCAACCAATTGAAATAACAAGAATAAAAATCCATTCTGAGAATCTCCATTGCAAGGACATTAAGACTGAACAAAAGGCCAACAGGACAGTTAAAACCGAGAACAATTGAATCTGAAATAAGGACACTCACTGCTCTAGGATGCTCTTTGACAGCAAGTTTACCCTTGTGATGCTCTATTGCTTCAGTGCAAGCTGCAATTGCTTTATTGAGAATAGCTATACCTTGCTCCTGACCAAGGCAACATAAGAATAAAATAATTTAGAAGACCAATTGTTAAACAGACATGCGATGACAATACCAACAGATGATATCAACAAGTCAGTGCAAATGATGACTAGGATAAGGGAAAGAATCTTTAGACGTGGATCAGCATAATTAACAGAAGAAAATTTCATAAAGGATTAGTATGTTCATCCAAATGCTTTCAGCACAAAAAGCTGTGAATGAGAACTTCAAAGGCATGTTAGAGAGAACAAATTCATTGCAGATGGATTAAAAAGAGACGTTAAGCTAACCTTGTCAAGAGTTTGAGTAGTAAGAACATAAAGTGGAGGAGCAACAAGCTTGATTTTAACAGGACAATCATCATTCCCGGCAGCCTCAGCTCGCGCATAGCCTCCTGCAAATTTCAAAATTGACCATCTGAGAACCCACAATCAAACCAGAGAGAGAGAGAGAGAGAGAGAGAGAGAGAGAATTTGTGCAAATAAGACCTTAATGTGAAGAACACCATCAAACTGGAAACATTTCATTTCAATATCAGCTCGAATCTTCAGAGGTTGTGGTGTCATTCTTCTCCTAATATTTTTTATCAAAGCATCTTTGACTTCCTCAGTCACAGCAGGGACCACCTCAGTCACCTAAAGGAAAAAATAGTTAGATACCTAAACCAGATGAAGAAACAAGTTGCATGCATCTCACAAATTGAAATTTACCTCCTGTCCATCTGGGCCAGGTGTTTTTACTTCACAGGTGAGGGTGTTCAAGACAGAATCAGGATCAGTCACAATAATTTTGAATGCCTGCAAACAAAAAAATTAAGACCATGTTAACAATATGTGAAAATAAGATGACACTTCAAAAAAGCGCATAACTTCCTACCTCAAAAGCATGACCATATTTCCGGTATAAAGGCCAGCCAATTTTAATGTACAAATCCTGCCACAGATACATAGTATAAGTCAGATGCATGCTGATGATTAAAAAACCGCTTCTAACACTATCTATCCCTATATAATTTGATTAAGCATACAGAATTCTTATTTCTCCGCATTGCATTCTATCTCACAAGCATAGTAATCTCATCATAATCCCTGAACTCCTCACTGTTTGTATTTAAAATGTAACAGATATTCAACAAAAAGCAGAAGCCAACCTATCAAATTCTCCATATTTTCTATGCAACTTAGGCAAAATCTAACCTGAGAGTCACCAACAAATAACCATATCGTATACTAAAATTACATCAACGAAATAATTCAGTTCGCTTTTTTTTTTAATTGGATTAATGTTATAAAAACACACATTTTCCTCATAAACACTAATTCCTGAACGATTAGAAAGTATCTCCTTATTCTCACTTAACTAAACATCCCCCGAACCACATTTCCCAACCAAAAACCCATAAAACAGTGATCGAAATCCCCTCAATCAACCCAAATGAAAAGGCCAAATTTACTTCCAAATCACTACCACTAAACTCTAAATATTACTCATATCCAAATGAAGAAAACTAAAAGTCCCATGAACCAAATATAGCAATAAAAAATTTCCCTCATTTTTAAAAACAAAAATAATAGTAACTATAGAGAAATAAAAAATAACCAGAATTACCTCCAAATCGATATCCAAGGTCTCGGCGACATGTCGCATAATAGAGTGAACAAGCTTACTCTTATTATACCTTTCTTCACAAGCCTGGATATCTTCTTCGCTAACCCTCCTCTTACTCAAGTCGATGTAACCCTTTTCCTTATCGACACGGAGGACCATCACGGGCTCCGTCCGGCCTACCTTGATTAAACTGCTGACGCTACGAATCCGACGGCGAGAGAGCTCGGAGAACAAGATCATGCCTTCGATGTTGTTGTATTCTAGGAGCGAAACATACGCACCCATGTCGGCGATGTTCTTCACTTGTATCATCACCGCCATGTCCACCTCTGGGTACTTCGCTTCGTACATACGACATTCAAGGTTCGGCATCTTCGTCCAATCTTTTTTATTTTTTTTGCTTTATTCTTAGGCTTTGATTTTTCCTTCGATTTTGATTTTGTGGATTTTGCTTTTGAGTGTTAGGGTTTTAAGAAGTGTTTTTAGGACTAGTCAGAGACTGAAGGGATTCCATTTTCCATTGTTATCAAAAAACGACGTCGGATGAAGGTCTCATGAAAAAGTTAAATTTTTTTAACTTAAAACTTATTATAAAGCTTTTATTAAAAATAATAATTTTTAAAATTAAACTAAATTTCTTATGTAAATTTTAATTTTGATTAAAATTATTATAAAATGTATTTACTAAATAAAAAATTGAATTAAATAAAAATAAATGTGAAAAAATATAATTTATTTTATAATATTATAAATTATTGAGAGATAAAAGAATGAATATAAAAAAATATATATTATTATTTTTAAAATATTGAATTGACATTTATGACTTTTGAAGTTTAACAAAATTGATATTACATACAAGAAAAAAAACTCACTATAGTATTAATAACAAATCTAATTAGGTCAAAAAATCATATTCAGCCATTGATTTAATAACTTATTTTTCTATTGAAATCATCAATGCTAATTCCATACAAGTCTATCAAAGTATTGATGTCCAAAGCAACCCTCCATGAATAAAAATTTTTGACTTTTATATTTTTTTTTCAATTTTAATGAATTATTTATTTTATCAAAAGAGTGTCACATCATCTACTCAAATGTGAAATTTTTGTTAACTCAAATGTACAAGTTCAAAGATTATGCAATTCTTGTTGCTAAAAAAATTAAAATTTATTTAAATTTTTTGGAATTCAATGTTAAGAAATTCAAATATTTTGCAATTTCTGTTGTCAAAGGAATCAAAGTATATTTCAATTTTCTTGTAGTGCAGCATAATACTTAAAAGAAAAAATTCTTTAAAATTGAATTACCACAAATGAGCATAAATATTAATTTTTTAATTTTCATCTAATTTATCTCAACAACTATTGACTAATTTGACTAATTATTTCAATAATAATCAACAAATATTATATAAAGTGAAAAGAAGTTAAAAACAAATAAACATAACATAATTGTCATAGCAAACAATAATTTAAAAAATATCAAACAATAAAGAGAGTTTTCAAAGTTAAAAAAATAAAAATAAATAAAATAGAAACAAAAAGTAGAATAATCTCTGAATACAGATTTAATTTTTTTTTATTTTTTTTTAATTTTTGTAAAAATAAGAAAAAACCAATAAGTATAATTTGCTGAAAAGGGAGATTGAGAGAGAGAGAGAGGGAAGAGGTAATTTTTAAGAGATGATTTTTTTGAAAAAAAAATAACTCTTCTAAGAAGTTTGCATGTTTTTTTTTTAAAAAAAGCTTTTATTTAAAGTTTGTTTTAAGTTATTTTTTTTAATTTTATTATTTAAAAAAATTATTTATTTTTTTAAGAACTTTTCACAAAACTGTTTAGTTCAGCTTTTTGCTTTTTAAGAAGTATGTTTTTAAGAAGTAAATATGAACCGAAGAGATTTCATTTTTCCTTATTATGTCAAAAAACGACGTCGGATCAAGCTCCATAAAATTATTGCCCACCGTCGGCCTTGAACCCACGTCCACAAAGTTAAGAGCGGACTGAGCTAGACGGGCTTGATATTCGTGGTTCGAAATATACCTCGAAGGCCAAATAATGCAATCTGTCAAAAGGGGAATTTGTAATGAAAGTTGACCATCATAAATAAACCTGGCAGTAAAAATATGAAGTATGTAATACAAATATCAGCAACTATTCAATCAAATGTTTGTATGCAAACATTTTAAGGATAAGCCAAAGAGAGAATAATGCAATCTGTCAAAGGGAAATTTTACGATTAAATCAAAAATTTGAAACAAACATTTTGATAATTAGCTAAAGAGAGAATAATCTAATCTGGAAAGGAGAAATTTTATTCTAGTCCAGTAATATTACTTCAACGAGTTATGGCCACAATAAATATTCACATTATTTTCTTGCCCAGTTCAAGAATCTTGTATTGCTAATTGGGTACAGAAAACTGTGATTGTTAATTGTAACCGTTCATAGTGAATTTGTAGCTCTTTTATTACAAACTTTTATTTAGGGCAAAAACTACCAAATTGACATGCCCTTCTTCACAAATGCACTTAAACCTCTCAAATATGTTTTCTTAGTTACGTCCAAGGATCCCATTCTTTTGATACATGGAAGGACGTTGGAATGTTGGTTTCTTCTGGGACTTGGAGTAGTAAGGAGAATAGGGAGTAGGGAGAACATTGTAGACCACAACTGGACTTCTCGCCCTATATTTGTAATCCGAAGATAACCATACTATGGAACCAGATGTAATCGGTTGCTGTAAAATATGCGGACCGGTGACCCTCACGGTGAAGGACTTCTTTTCTCCCACAGTTGAGAATGACAGAAATTCGGGCTCTACGCTAATGGTGAAGTCGCCTTGGGTCGTCTTCCAGACAGTGTAATTTGAGTTTGGTGAGCCAACATTGGTCACTGTCCTGGTAAAGACACCATAAATTGGCTGGCCATCAAGCACAGCTAATGAGAATGAAGGATAGTTGAGATCCCAAGCTGGCCCAGGCGTGGTGCTGGTGCATACACTGCTGTTGTCACCTGTGATAAGTCTTATGGTTGTGGTGTTGTAACCTTGCTTGCAGAGGAAGTTAATGTAATCTGTCTCATTT